GGGAGGCCGCCGGGATGCCGCTGCCCGCAGACCCCGCGCGCGCCGCGTGCGCCCTCTGGTCCCCCGAGCCTCCGGAGAGCGGCGCCCCGCCTCACCCTCCACCCCTCAGCCCGAAATGCACGGTTCCCGCCGGGCCGAATGGCAGGATTTCGGCTGTGGCGGCTCAGTCACATGGCCGGGAGCACAACTCCCAGCGACAGCGTCCCTGCCAAATCCAGTGTCTTTTCCACCAAATCCACTTTCCGCTGGGGATGGCTTTCTGCTTTTCCTGGTCGGTCTCCTCGCGGGACTGGGAGTTCCTCCAAGGCAGGAGCGGGTGTGCGCCCGGCCCCAAGCTGGCCCCAGCCCCCAGTGCAGGGCCTGGCTTACAACCCGGCCCGGCGCTCGCAGAAGAAATGCTTGTTAACAGAGAAGTCATGAATGAATGAAACCAATTGTTGCACGAGGGAGCCCAGGACGGTGCTGATCCTTTTTCTCTCAGAGGGTCACACACTTTCCCCCACCCCACAGACACGCACTGCACACATGCACACACGGCTCTCCCCTCAGCGCACATGCAGATGGCACACAGACCGCAGCAGACTCCTGTCCTCGTGGAACCGACCTACTACGTGCGTGCCTGGCAACTGGCGTTTCTTTGGTCCCAGCTGGGCCGCCTCTCCCTTGCTCCCCTCCCCCAGCCCACCCGCGCCGACACCTAAGTACGGTACCTTGCACCCCAAGTGCCTTCTTTATGTCTTAAGGAAGAGGCCAAGCCAGTCGCTGGGGAGACTCAAGGTCTGTTTGGCGAGGCACCTAGGGGGCCTCAGGACGGTGGGGGAGCTGCTGCCGCCAAAGGCGAGCCAGAGGCACCTGGCAGGAATGCCACCCAATGCTGCAGCCTCCGGAGCCCGTGTGCCAGGTGTCAGGGGGTGGTGGTGGGAGGCACTCAGGGATGTGTGTGCTGGGGGCTATTTGCGATGGGGTTGCGGCAGGGTGCTGGAGAGTGTAAATCCAGCAGGTGTGCATACGTGTTGGGGTGTATGAGTGTGCACGCTGGGGATGCAAGAGGTGTGTGCCTGGGGAATGGGCCTGGCTGTGGGGCGTGGGGAGTGTCAGCTGCTGGAGCAGGAGTTAGTTTTGGGGCTTCACTCAGGGGTAGGTGGATTGCAGTGTCTCCGGGCTGGGAACGTGGGTGGAGTGTCTGTAATGAGCATATGGGGAGTCGGAGATGGTGGTGGCACGGAGAGGGGAGCTATGTTAGTGCAGATATAGCAGGGATGTATCGTGTGTGTGTGTGTGTGTGTGTGTGTGTGCGTGCGCGCGCGCGCGCGC